GTGTCCAGTTCACTGCACATCTTTTAGATGTGTATTTTTAGTATGGAATAAAACGTATACTTATATTCTTCATCTTTACTTTCAAAGAGTCACGACACCGTTACGACGTGTCTTTGTACAGCCATCTCTGAGTCACGAGTGTCCCCTCCCCCAGGTTACTGTCTTTACTGACAACTATGACATACCTACCGATCTCTGTTCAGTCTCAGATGTAACACTTTGCCTTCAGTCCTTACTTCCTCTTGATACTACATCCGGTTCCCATTACCAATAAAATGAAATTTCTCATTCACTGGTGTCCAGTTCACGCTCATGATGCCATGAGTAATGGGACACTGACTCTTGTTACCCATTTATTCCTCGTGTTTTTATCCACGTCCATGTGGATTTTATATTTGCATGGGTTTCAATAGAGATGAGTGTGCCAGGTTTGAGGGAGAATCCCAGAGAAAGCCAGCGGCTCCATGCTGCTTAGAGTCTTGGGAGTTCAGATGTGACAGCAGTTACCATGGTGCCCCTGACTTGGGCTTGGTAAGGCCAGGGGATAAGCGGGGTGGATTTGACCTCTCATGAGTTCAGGATCCTGTGCCTCTCGCTCAAATAAAACCATCGTCATTCCTCAGAGTTGGGTCAACAACTAGTAAAGCTACAGAAAATAAACCCCAAAGTCCTGGGCTCACATAAAAATCACAGAAACCCGGAGGCTGCTGGAGTTTTGTCACAGTTTGCTGGCCTGAGATTGGAGCATCACCCCTCTGTTTTCCCATGCACACCCACCCTGTACTTGTCCATCTGTGTTCTCTGAGCCCACATTGAGGCCCTGCCCCTGCAGAGATGGTACCTGGCCCAGGAGGCACTTTGGAACCCCAGGTCCTGTTTAAGGACGGGGTAGCCTCAGCTCCTGGGACCCTGCTCCTTCAGGCCATCTGTTCCACCTCAGGTGGAGAGCTGGGAGCAAATGCCAAAACACTGATTCCTTCCAAAATGCTGAACTGGCAGTGTGTTTTGGAGGCTTTCTTCCTGAGACTTCTAGAAGCCTTCCTTAGCCTGTATGACCCAGCCATAGAAATGTCAGCCCCATATTCTTGTTCTGACCGAGGACCATCAGGCTGTGATGTTTGGGCCTCTGGCCTCTAGCTCTGAGTTGAGACTCTAAGTAAAGGTGACATCAGGACCCCACTCTGCCCCTTAGTCCCTGGGAACCTCATCTTGCAGTGATAGATTCCTCTGTTACAACATGATAAAAAACAAACTCCTAAAGCTTTATGAGGACTTAAGCAAGTTTTACTAAGTGCTATAGAACAGCTGTGTCCTGTTAGAGTTTGCAGTCTACCACATTGCTGTGTAAAGGTATTTATAAGCTTTATAAAACCTCAGGCCTTACTCATGTCACATCCTGTCACTGTCTTGTACAGCACTTGGCGTGAGGTGGGTTAACACCACAGGCTACATAAAGAGGGAAATTGGGCACTGGAAAGATCTATGTATCAGTTGTGGCTGAACTTACACTTTGAAAAATTACAATTTGAAAAATTTGACTACTAGTGATTCATAAACTAAAATGCTAGTCCTTTTTATTGTCAAAAGAATGCATGCAAAAACTGTTATCCTCACAAGTTACTGTGTTGCTGGTAACACTATGATTGACATTCTGTTTTATAATTTGATAATATGCAAGGTGCCATTTGCCACTCTCTTTTGATCAAAATATGCAGCTGCCTTGGAGAAAATTTGTGTGTTCATGAAGATGATGTTGCAGGCAAAATTTGTAGTTGAAAAAACCAGATAAAAGGTGAGTATTCAACAGTAAAGTAATAGTTAAGTAAAATATTGATGATGAAAATGATAAATTAAAGACTATAAAAATTGGAATATATAAGATGAGTGATTGCTTTAAAAGATATGGCTCATCTAATATCAAAATAGTATTGTTGGGGCTGGGGAAAGCTCAGAGGTAGAGCCTTCCATGTACAAGGCCCTGGATTGTATACCTCATAAATAATAGTTTAATAGTTACCAGAAGTTGAAAAATCCACCCAAAGTCTTTTTCCCATGAGGCAGTTTCTTTGGTCCTTTGAACCTGCTCCAGAGGGAACAATTTTCTTAGTCTTCTCTTGTCCCTGTTCTCTGGCAGGTTCTTTCCAGCCCTGGCTGATCTTCTACTAACATGTTATCACCCCTTGGACAGGGCTTTTTCACAAGCTGTGAATCGCTCACATACACGAGTTAATGAGTCTTAGCTCCTTGGCTGTCTTAAGGAGGGTATCTTTGAAAGTGGTTGATGTCAAGGGAAAGGGCAGTACCTCATTTCTGATCTTAGTTGTTTGGAAGAGGGAATTTGGTTGTCTTGTTTCCATTTCAATCTTTAGTGTATTTTTGAAGCATCAGTAAGGGGATTCCCACACCCTCAGGATTAAGCCTTAAAGTCCTGGGCTATTGCCAGGCAAAATGTCCTCCAAGTTAAGTCATCAACATGCCATCTACCAATCCTGGAAGAGCCTGGTGGCCTTCTCATGGGAAAGACAGAAGAGTGGTGGGCCTGTGGTCAGGGTTGTTAAAAAAAAAAAAAAAAACATCTCTCAGAACACCACCATGCAACAGAGTTCAGGGGTAAAAAGGGAAAGGGGAGGGGGTCGACCTGCCTCAGGGGACAGGTGCAATGGGAGAGAAGGCAGAGAGAGAGAGAGAGGGGGGGGGGGGGAAGGGGGATGAGAGGTGGGCAGGGCTCTTTTAAAGGGGAACATAGTGAATGTGCACAGGTGGTGCTCTTAGTGGCTGCAGCTGAGGACATATTCAGTCAGAACTCCAGAACTCCAAGGGCAGGCCAGTACAGATGTCTAAATATTAACAGTCAGGATCTGAGCCTTCACTGGTACAGCTCTCCAGCCTGGAGACCTGCCCACAATTCTGGCAGGTTACTACTGGGATTCACCTGAGTCCAGGAGACTTGGCACTGCTCCAGGAACTTTGTCTTGCTGGCTGTTACTTTTCTATTGCTGTGACAAAGCAACATGACAAAGCCAGCTTTTTGTTTGGCAGCAACAGGCAGCCATAATGATGGAGTAATAGCTGAGTGCTTACATCTGACCCACAAGCAAGAGAGAGAGGGGGGAGAGAGAGGGGGGAGATCGAGGAAGAGAAGGAGGGAAGGAGAAGAAGAGGGAGGGAGGGGGGGAGAAATGAGAGGTGGAGAGAGGAGAGATATTAAAGGCATGAGCCACTACTGCCCGGCAAGATTTACTTTTTAAATGTATGTGTGTATGTGTGTGTGCTGTGTATATGCCATGCATGTACAAGTGTGGTGGACACTGAAGAGGTTGTTGGACCCCCTGGAGCAGAAGTTACAGGTGGTTGTGAGCTGGGAATGGAGCTATGGGCTGCTGGACAGCAGTGTGCGCTCCTAACAGCTGTATCTCCACCACCAGGAGCTCCAGTTTGACTCATCTTTAAGGCCAGGGTTACCATTCTGGGAAAACGTCCTCCTACTAGGGCTTGAGATGACAGTTTTCCTAGGTGGGCGCCTTCAAAGAAGTGATGTGGTGAGGCAATTCCCACAATGGTGCCCATTTACTACTTTAACAAGAACTTAGAACGGAATCAAGAGGCAAAGCAGATTACAAAATGTCACATCTTTCCTTGAGTATGTTTATTACTTTGTGTTTCAGGAATAATCTGCTGTAAATTCTCTTAAAGAAACAAAAGTGTGCTTTGAGTTAGCTCTTAGGAGTCACAAAAGAGGAAAAAACTGTAGAGAGTAGCCAAGCCCGACCCAGGCTGAGGCCAAACTGGAGAGTGAAACGGCGGAGAAAGCCTCCCAGTGAAGAAAGAAGTTAGCAGGGGTTATGGGAAGGTGGGCTCTGGTTGGATGGAAACAGCTTGCTATTTGGTCAGCTGCTTGCTTACTGCTCATTCTCTGACCCAACAGAGGCCTGCGACACTGGCAGAGGCCCTTTCCTGAATGAGACAATATGGCAAAGCTTAAGGACCTTTTAAATGGTCTGCAAGGCCTGACCTACACTTCAACAAGACTTTCCAAAACAGGGTTCTTTTGTGCCATTTCTGAGACCTGACATGTGACCTAGCAACGGCTGCAATGTCACCAGCCCACAATTCATTTGTTCAAATGAAATGTACTTTCTGAGTTTTCTATATACCGGCCAGCATCCTGAGACCAGGTGGGGGCGCTGTGGTAACCAGAAGGCAGAGACCACTCAACCTTCACAGGACTTTCAAAGCATAACTAAGTAATGAGGTCATTTGAGAGTGCCCCTAAGCATCTGAGGACCACCTGGAGGAAAGAGCATTGGCCAGTGGGGCCCAGGCTCCACAATAAGCCAGAGTCATAGCCAGAGGTAAACGCAGGCAACAGACCATAGACGACCTGCAGAACAATGTAACATTTTTTTTTAGTGTCACAGTTAAGGTAACTGAGATGCACCAGCGGACTTTAAATGGGGGAATGAGGTGGTCTGACTGATTATGCCTGCTGCTGCTTTTTGGCACGAAGCAACCAGTATGCATAGAGTCTGTCTGCAAATCCCCTGGGGCAACTAGCCGAAGTTCTCAACTAGCTCCAACTTGTCTGATAACTCGTCATAACCTCTGTAACACGGCTAGTGGGAGAGAGCGGTGTGAGCCATGTTTAAGTGCCCGAGCTGTCGGCCCCGAAGCGGGACCAGTAGAAGTTCCTGCACTACAGGACGTGGGGGCGAAGGGAATCATTTGCACGCACGCAGAGCACAGAGAGTGTGCCTCGCACGACTGTGGCAGGCTTTCAGAACTGTTCACTTTCATTGCACGGGACACTCGTGCAACTGCCGCCTACCTTCTTCCTCTAGCTCCCCTTTCCTTCTCGAGAAGTGGGACAGGGAGCGGCGCCCACCCCGGCAGAGGCGCCAGGCCAGGCTCGGCTTCAATGCGGCCATTGTCATCCAGCCGCACCTCCCCCGCCTGCCGCGCGTCCCCATGGCAACTCGGGGCTTCGCCTGCCCCCCCCACCCCGCCCCCCGTCCTGCGGACCGGAAGCCGTGCGCGCCGGGGGCTTGTGGGAAGAGGCTGTAAGCGACGGCGCAGCGTCTGCCCGGGACGGCGAGGCTGCGGGTCCCGAGCCGGAGGTCAGCGGCGTGCGGGGGCCAGGGTTCCAGGAGGGGGCGCGGGTCGGGGCGCGGCGGGAGCGGCCGGCGTCGTTCGGCGTCTCGGGCGTGCGCGGAGGAGGCCGCGGCGGAAGGGCGGCGGCGGGGGCGGCCTGCCGCACTTCGGGCGCCCGCGGAGCCGCCCGCGTCCCCGCCGTCATGTCCTCCCCTCCCCCACCGGCCGGTTTTGTTCTATTTCGAGGCTCTGCGGGCTCGCGGAGCGTTCTGGGAGTCGCTCAAACCGAGGTGGGATCCGGTGGGTCTCGCGCACGGCCTTCTGGGATTTGTAGTCCCGCCGGCCCAGGGCGGAAGCGCCCGTCCAGTGTGGTGGGGTGTTCTGGGGCCTCTGTGGCCCTTCGCGGTGGACGCTGGGAAGAGGACATCGGCCGGAATTGACCGGGGCCCACTGGGGCTGGCTGGGCTCGGCGTTGTGAGGTGGGAGGTCGTTGAAGACCAGGATCCCGCCAAGTACTTGACGACGTTCCTCCTGGTGCAGTACAAAATAGAAGAAAAAAATCTCTGTTACGTAGAAATGCTTGAGTCGTTGATAGGGTCGGGTCCAGGAATAGGAACAAATGACTGTTGCATTTTGTTACCAGGCCATCATCCCACTCAAGAATATTTAATAGATCTATATGGTCTGTCTGTTTGGTACAGTTTGAGTCTTTGTCTTCATCTTGACAGGTTTCCATAAGGTTTTTTTAAGTTTCTGGTTTTTTTTATATCCTTGGCTCTGATAAATAGACAAACAGTAACTGTAAAGTGTGTGTGTGTGTGTATACATATGTGTGTGTGTGTGTGTGTGTGTGTGTGTGTGTGTGTGTGTATATATACACACATTTCCCCCCCCCCCCCTTTTCCAGACAGGGTTTCTCTGTGCAGTCCTGACTGTACTGTCTCTGTAGTCCAGGCTGTCTTCGAACTCAGAGATCTGCTTGCCTTTTGCCTTCCAAGTGCTGGGACTATAGGCCTGCCATGCACCACCACCGCCTGGCTAAGTTTATTATTCTTAATGTGCTGGGAACTGTGGCACCAGTATGATTTTGCAAATACTAAAAGGATTGGAAAGTAGCTCACAGATTTCCCCAGAGGAAAAGCTAGGATGAGCCACTTAAGAAAAAAAAGACTCCTGGTCATTGTGAGAAGTTGTGAGTGCGTTTTCCTAATAGAATTTGCTGCAGTTGATGAACTGTCACAGTAAGTTTAAACGCATGTATGGTATGGTGGATGCCTAAATAACATTTGCATGTTATGTGCAATAGTTTCTTCGGCGTTATGTGAACTGTGTAAAAGTGAATCTGTGACAAGATCTAATAGCCCAGTTGGCTTTGCTGTGTAGATGAGGATAGTTTTGTTTCTACCTAGGACCTGGGATTACAGGTTTAGGACACCACACCCAGCTACTAGTGAACATTTTTTCACATATATTTTGTTTAGGGAATCCCTAAACAACTCAAATTCAAAACAAACAAACTTGAGAGAGAGAGTGCACACACTCATTAGCTCAGCAGTGGAGCACTTGTGTAAAGTCCTTGTATACAATCCCTAACCCCAGGGCCGGGGAGATGGTTGACCTGTTTCCTACTCCAGTCTTGCAAAAACAAAAAGAAAAGTGTGGTGGGCTGGGTAGCTCATCAGGTAGGGGGCTTGCTTCAAGCCTGACAACCTGTGTTGGATCCCAGGTTCCACATAGTAGAAGGAGAGAACTAGTTTCTGCATGCCGTCCTCTGATGTCCACTTCTATGCTGAGATGTACCAACACAGAATGAATGTCAAAGTGTTTTAAGTGTCCTACAGTTCTGAATACTTAGTTTTTTTTATTATATGTATACATGCACATGTGTCTGCCTGGTACCTGAGGAGGGTCAGAAGAGTTTTGTGGTGCTGGGAATCAAATCTGGGTTCTCTGCAAGGACAACAAGCATTCTTACTGAAATAATTCTTCAGCCCCAAGGGTTCAGAACTATCAGAGGACACTGAGATAGGCTGATTCCTACATGGGTTCTTTAGGCTATTTAATTGCCTTTCATTGACTATATGTCACAGACTGGCAATCTTTTTCTGGAAAGGGCCAGGTAGTAAATACTAAATTGCTTTAGATCTTAGCAGAAATTGTTGAACCCCATCAATTCTACCATTATAGCCTGAACCACAATTAAATTTAATGATTTATAGACAACAAATTTAAAAATCATGGGACTGGAGAGATGGCTCAGCAGTTAAGAGCACTGGCTGCTCTTCAAGAGGACCCAAGTCCAATTCTCAGTACTCACATGGCCACTGTTCCAGGGGAACCCTCACACAGACATACATATGTGCATTAGTACACACAAATAAGACCATTAAAAATTTTAAATATTTTTATATCATATGTATATGTGTAGGCATGCACATGTAATGCCATACTTGTTGAGACTAGAGAACACCTTGCAGAAGTCAGGTTCTCTCCTATGTACATGTTGGTTATCGGACTCAGGTCATCAGGCTTGACCGTGGCTTCCTTTGCCAACTGAATGACTGTTGGCTCTAGACAGATACATCATATTTTTCTATCATGAAATGTGCTTTTTAGCCATTTAAATTTTTACGCTACACTTACTATGGATAGTGCAATAGGCAGCAGGCTAGATTTGGCTGTAGTCTACCAACTGTGGTAGCATTTCAGTCAATATGGACTATTGATTGGAATTTTAATCCAGTAAAAATAAAAATTAGGTTTTTTTCTATTGTTTTCAAATATCTTCAGGTATTTGGTAATTTATGTGTGTCTTTTATTTCTTATACCTTAGGAATACCTTTGAGGAAAAATAGTATTTCTGAGTGAGGTCTATATCCTGCCTTGACTGCCTTTCTTGAAGTACTGTAACAGGATGTCCGCACAATCTGTGGAAGAAGACTCAATACTTATCATCCCAAATCCAGATGAAGAAGAAAAAATTCTGAGAGTGAAACTAGAGGAGGATCCTGATGGTGAAGAGGGGTCAAGCATTCCCTGGAATCATCTCCCTGACCCAGAAGTTTTCCGACAGCGGTTCAGGCAATTTGGATACCAGGATTCACCAGGTCCCCGAGAGGCTGTGAGCCAGCTCCGTGAACTTTGCCGCCTGTGGCTCAGACCAGAGACACACACGAAGGAACAGATCCTGGAGCTGGTAGTGCTAGAGCAGTTTGTTGCCATCCTACCCAAGGAGCTACAGACTTGGGTTCGAGAACATCACCCCGAGAATGGAGAGGAGGCAGTGACCGTTCTAGAGGACTTGGAAAGTGAACTCGATGATCCTGGACAGCCGGTGAGCATGTTTACCTCATTTTTCCCAAGTCGGAAACACTAACATAGCAGTGGGCAGACTGCTGGATTAATTCACATGACTAAGTTAGAATTATGTCTGTGCCTCCTTCCCGGTCACTTGCCACCCTGCAATGTCTGTGCTGCTCTGCAGTTGGGATTGTCTTTGGGCTGCCAACCAGTTCCCAATTGAAGACTCAGAGACTTATTATGGATGCTCAGCCTTAGCTTAGGCTTGTCCCACTAGCTCTTGAACTTAACAGTTTCTCTTCATCTACGGTTTGCTTCAGAGCTTTTTCCTTTCTTTCGTTGTATATATTTTGCTTGCCTGCTTCCTCTGTGGCTGGCTGGCAGGCTGGCCCCTGGCATTTCCATTGTCTTTTCTTTCTTCTCCAAGCCTAAATCCCTCTTCTTACTTACTTTCCCTGCCCAGAAGTTCTGCCTATACCTCCTCCCTCTCGGCTTATCAGCTTTTTATTAGACTAATCATGTGCCATACATAGGCAAGATAAAAGAGCAACACATCTTTACATGGTTAAGCAAATATCCCACAACACTGCTTTGCTGTCTGGGACTTCGTAGTGTATTTTTTGTGGCTTCGCTTATGTGTACTTAGTATCAAAATTCCTTCTCAACCAAACTAAAATCTTGTTTTCAGGTTTCTCTCCGTCGGCGAAAACGGGAAGTGATTGTAGAAGAGATATCTCAAGAAGATGCTCAGGGATTACCAAGTTCTGAGCTTGATGCTGTAGAGAATCAGCTCAAGTGGGCATCCTGGGAACTCCATTCTCTGAGGCACTGTGGTGAGGACCAGAACACCATGTGGCTTTTGTCCAGAGTGCTTGGCTTGTCCTTTTGGCACTTTTAAGCTGCTGTTTAGAAATAGCTGTACTGGGAAGAGCTTGACTTTTCTGATGGAAGACTCACTGGTCATGGGTATTTTACTCCTAGACAGTAACATCTTTAGCTTTTCTTTCATGAAGACTACCCATTTGCCTTATTCTGAGCCAGTGCCTGTAGACCATGTCTATTTTTTACATGGTACTGCTTATCTGTTTTTTCTGCTGTTTTGACTTTAGTCCCCTGCCTAACCATATTAATATAGTAAACTTACTTGAAGTCTCCTTCAACCCTTTTATTTGTTACAGAAGTCTTCCTAAATTTCAACTTTTCTTTTTGCTTCAATGTTGTACCTACTCTTTTTTTTTTTTTTTTTAAACTTTTCCCATTTTAATTTATTTTATGTGTGTGGGTAGCATGTGCATGCTGGGTGTCCTTGGAAATCAGAAGAGGATGTCAAGTTCCCTGGAGCTGGAGTTACAGGTGGTTGTGAGCTGCCATGTGGGTGCTAGGAATTGAACTTGGGTCTTCTGGAAGAGCAGCAGTGCTCAACCACCAAGCCTTCTCTCCAGACTCCTTAAGAAACTTTAAAAAAGATTTTCTTTTGAAAAGGATGTGTGCTTGTATATGACGGTGTGCATGTGAGTGCAAGTCCTCTCAGAGGTCAGGACTAGCGCCAGCTCCCCCGAAGTTACAGTACCTAACGTGCTGCAGGGAGCCGGATGTGCTCTTCATCACTGAATCATTTCTACAGCCCTCTAAAAGCTCAACAAACAAGCAAGCAAACAAAAACCCCAGAAATGATAGTAGGCTAAATTATTTCTTCCTAAGTATGTATTTAAACCTGGCTGCCAAGTTATCATATGATTTAAATGCAGAAATATCAAAGTCTAATTACAATAATTCAGATTTGTTTTTTGTTTCTGATATACTGGTACTTAATACTGTATTCTTGTTCATACGACCTGGTGTTCTAAATTTGCTGTGTTGTACTTCGTATGAAGTTTTGTTTGAGGTTGCTTTAGGAATCACCCCTTGAGGTAGGTGGAGAAATGCTTGTATGCCACACACTAGGGTGTGAACAGGTTTTCTTCCTATATGAGGGAATACTCTAAAGCAGAACTGAGGTAGAGGTGCAATCTGCTCACCACTGTGGTTTTTCTTGGCTCGTGGGACATTTTAGTGTGATATGGTGAGAGCTATATTTGCTCATTGGAGGTGCACTTTCATGGGTAGAAAACTTGTCCCCTTCCTAAATTTTAGAATGATTTTCCACTCCTGGCCTCATTTTAGTAGCCTGGTCACTTTCACATTCAGAAAGTTCTATTTACTTCATGTCATGTGTCCCCTTGCCCTTCATACTTGACATTTCAAGTAGCTAAGTTGCATTAGTGCCTCGGGCCCTTGGGTCTCCTCTCCTGCTTTCTCATTTGCCTTATCCTTGGCGACATCCATTATTGGCCACTTTTGAATGCTGCTGCTCACCATGTGTTATCTGTCTATTCTGTGTGGCTTAAGTTTCAGGAGAAATGTCAGTGAGTAGGGAGGGTAGGGAGCCTGTGGGTAGGGAGTGCTGCCACTTATCAAATTGAGGCTTTTCCCCCCTAGACACATCTCACTAAGACTTAAAAGGAATAATTTAGCTGCCATTGACAGATACCAAATTGGGTCAAGTTTCTTTAACACGGAATTTTCATTTATTGCATATTGAAGTTTTAAGTGCCATGACTTAAGTTACATAGGTTGCCCTCAGATTATTCATAGCTTGTTTTGTTTGTTTTTTGTGTTTTTCATTCTCTGGGCCTGACTGGTCTGGAGCTGGCCTTGAAGTCACAGACATCTGTGCTTGGGTTGAAGGAGTGTGCCGCCACACCCAGTTCTTGGCTTTTTTCTTAGTCCGGACTCATGTTTTCTGCTTTGATCCCAGTATTGACTGTGACACACTGATTTATTTCAGCAATAGCTATTGTTTGGCAGACTTTTGTTGTTGTTGTTGTTATACCTTCCTTTTCTTAAAAACCATTTCCTTATGGCCATTATTTTTCTTCCCAAAGTTTCTTTTAGACCTAGCCTGTATCGATTTGTTTTTATTTTCCCCTTTATTTTATAATCTGTTACTTTTTTTTATTATTTTAAGAAAATAGTCAATTTTAATAAAAATAGTATAGTCTATTTTTAAATTTTTCTTGTATTGTATGTATGTGTGTATGTATATGTGTATATGTATGCCACTTGTTCAGTTGCCCAAAGAGGTCAGAAGAGGAAGTTGGAACCCCCTAGACCTGGAGTTGTGATGGTTGTGAGACTCTCAGTGGATGCTGGGAGCTGAGCTTGGGTCCTCTGAAGGATCATGTGCTCCTTATGGCTGGGCCATTTCTCCAGTCCCTTTGTTAAATTTTGATATAACTCGCTGGGTGGCGGCACACACCTGTAATCTCAGCACTTAGGGGACTTGGGAGACAGACAGGTGGATCTCTGAGTTTGAGGACATCTTGGTCTACAGAATGAGTTTCAGGACAGCCAAGGGATATACAGAGAAACCCTGTCTTGAAAAACCAAAACAAACAAACAAACAAAAAATTGTTTTAGGTAAAACCTGAGTCATTTTGCTGTCATGCCATTAGCTCATTGATCTCATAATCGCCCCCCCCCTTTCTTTTTTGAGATTTGTCAACCTTATATATTCATAGATGTATACAGTTTTGTTTTTGTTTGTTTTGTTTTTAGTTCTTGAAAAACTGTTTTACCAGGCATGGTGGTGCACACTTTTAATCCCAACATTTAGGAGGCAGAGGTAGGCAGATCTCTGTGAATTTAAGACCAACCTAGTCTATATAGCAAATTTCAGGCTGGCTATGGCTACATAGTGAGGCCTTGTCTCAACAACAATAACAAACCTTTTTTCCCCCTTCAAGTTCTTTTCTCTTCAAATGGGAACATTTTCTCTTTATTTCAGATGATGATGCTAGGACAGAGAATGGAACGCTGGCTCCAAAGCAGGAGATTGCTTCAGCTGTAGAAGCTCATGAAGTTCCTGGCACTCTTAATATAGGTGTTCCTCAGATTTTTAAATATGGAGAAACCTGTTTACCCAAGGGCAGATTTGAAAGAAAGAGAAACCCTTCTCGAAAGAAACAGCATATATGTGACGAATGTGGAAAGCACTTCAGCCAGGGCTCGGCCCTCATTCTCCATCAGAGAATCCACAGCGGGGAGAAGCCTTATGGGTGTGTCGAGTGTGGCAAAGCCTTCAGCAGAAGCTCCATCCTTGTACAGCACCAGCGAGTCCATACCGGGGAGAAACCTTACAAGTGTCTTGAGTGTGGGAAAGCCTTTAGCCAGAATTCTGGGCTTATTAATCATCAGCGAATCCACACTGGAGAGAAACCGTATGAATGCGTTCAGTGTGGAAAATCCTACAGTCAAAGCTCAAATCTTTTTAGACATCAGAGAAGACACAATGCAGAGAAACTTTTGAATGTTGTGAAAGTTTAAAAAATTAGGGGGAAACAATAAGCACTCAGGTCTTTTTCTTCAGAAATGAAGACAAAATTAAAAACATGAAGTGATACAGAAAAGGTTTTTTTCCCTGTTGACTGAGAAAATCCACTGGGAAATACAAAAAAAGGATTCCTCATTCACCATTATTATCTTGAGAGAAATGGTGTTATGCCTAGAAACTGAAATTTTAAATAATTCAGGTGTTAATACCTAAATTTTCCATGGGATGTTTATAGTCTCTTTTTTTTCTCCCAAGTAATGAGCTACCTGATTTTTTGTCCCTTTCTTAACATTTTCCTTTTTCAGACTAATATTTTATTTCAGTGTTGGTTATTGAAATGTTGTTTTGTAAGGACATGTATCTTTCTATTTTAAAAGGCAGCGTAGGAATTGTAAACTCTAAAAGCCCATCTTCAAGCATCTAAAAACACCTTTGAAAACTTCGTTTCCTTTTGTTCAGTTTGAGCATATTTGAGAAAAATAGTAGAGGCTAGTCAAAGCCTCAATGTTAAATGAGCCTTACGATCTCAGATGAGTGACAGTAGCAAAACTTCAATGAGTGAAAGGGAGGAATTAGAGAAGTTACAACTGTGGTGTGTCTGTTAAGCACAGTTGTCTTTCTACGGGAAAACTTAACAAAAAACAAACTAAAACCTGATTTTATCTAACTTGTGGGCATCTTACTAATGAAAGCAGTTTTCCTGTGTAAAAATAGACACTTGTGAACATAAAGGTAAAAGTAACACTAAGGAAGAATTTGTAGTGAATGCTGGTGTTGAAAGGCAAATATAAAATTAAGGCAGTTATATGATGTGGCTTTTAGAAAAACTCACAAATCTAACTCATTTTGCCCTCATCCTAGTTAAGGATAAAAAGTTCCTTGATGAGAGGGCAACGATATCAGGTTTGCTATTTTTATTCCTTTGATACAAAAGGGTTGAGCACCAGGCTAAAACAGCCATGCATTTATTATTAAACATTTCTACCGACAATGCACTGTGCAAAGTACTGTAATCCTACTGTAAGTAGGTAGGTATTTGTTCCACTGTAAGTCATAAGGGTGTCCCCATCAGCATTCCCAGGCCACCTCTGAGGTTCCCAGAGTTGTAGTTCTCTTACCAGTGTGATGTGTTTGGAGGGAGAGATGTCAGCTCAGAAAGCTAGCTAGTTAGCTCTTAGCACTTTTCAGAGGTGAGTTCAAGATACACTCTTTAGTTTGAGAATTTTTGAGTCTTAAAAATCCAAATGTAATTTCTAGTAGCATAGCAGTTATAACTACATGTTAAGTTGAATGGACTGTTCTACTTTAAAAAATAAACAACTAGGCTATTAATAACTAGTTTATTAACTGTCAGAATTGATTGAATTTTTTTTAATTTACAGTCTTAACACATTTAAAAAAAAATAAAGTAATACATTTTAGTAGTAGGATTCTGTATGCCTTGGTTAAGAATCCAAGTACTGTGGTTCTACTGTTTAATGGCAAACTCTGGAAGTTAAAGATTGAGTATAAGAGGTTTGGGGGTTTTTGTTGTTGTTTGTTTTTTTATATGTAAGACAGGCATCATTACATGGAAAATGATCCATGGGAGTACAAATATTTCCAGCAATTTGGGTTCTATCGGGTGCTTGGCCAATTTTAAGATGAAAAGTGAGATTTTTTTGCGTGAGCCTATTGAAAAACAGTAATAAATGCAATGCCAGCTGGTGAAGTGAGGCCGAATGAAGCTTGTTCATAGAGTTCTGATAACAATTATAAGAAATGTGCTTTATAGATTAAGATTTATTGAAGTATAAATATGTAGTAATGCTATAATGTATTTTTAAGTTATACAAGAAAATGTAGGGACTTTGTTTGGGTCTTTTCTCTGTGGCTGAGAGGAAACAAGTTAATATCCAATAAAGCTCTAAACTCCTCTGCTCTGAGACGGAGTAACTGGAATCGCTTTACTATTTATTTGTGACTGGCGCTTTCCCAGTAGGTTTTGAGGTGGCCCATTTGCGTAACTGCTGGAATGACAGAGCAGGGAATGGGGGAGTAACTCTCAGGAGGGAATGCCAGACTTAACAGTTTTAGGGGTAGATTTGCCATAAAGGCCCAAACTGTTTGACAGTGTGCGAGCATGGAAGAGGGTGTATTAGAGTTGGCAAGTCGGTGTTGTTTCGCCAGCTCTTACACCTGAGTCTGTTGGGAAGGAAGCTCAGACAAGGGACTGGTCTAAAACCCCTCATGGTATACAGGAAAAGGAAGCAATGAGATGTGTACTTAATTGACTCTGCCTAGATGTAAGTCCCCAGTAGTAACAGTGACTGCTGACTTCAGACCTGTCTCCACAGAGATCATGATTTGGGGTACCCAGTCTAAAGAAGTAGACATGTAGCAGTGCCAAGCATTACCTTTCTGGTTAGCAAAGGAGCAGTTACGAGAAGGCATGATTCTAACTGGTCCAACAGGCTGTTTAGTGGTTTTATATATTCAGAGATGTTTGACCACAGCAGCCTATCTTACAGTTGTGTGAGCTTAGAGGAGGTTACCTGTGCTGAAAAGATGTGCATGCTAAGCATTGGATTGGAATATTTAATCTCATCTGGATTTGTGGACTAGACAAGACCCAATGATCATGTCACTTGGAAATGGCCAGTTAGAGCTAAAACACAAACCTAGTTCTGTGGATTCCCAAGACCAGGTCTTTTTGTTTGTATGGTGGCTCACACCTTTAATCCCAGCACTCAGGAGGCAGAGGCAGGTAGAGCTCAGTGAGTTTGAGGCCAGCCTGTGCTACAGAATGAGATCCAGGACAGCCAGGACTAGGACTACACAGAGAAATCCTGTCTCAGAAAAACCAAAAAAAGTGATGGTGTTCAAATCCTGTTTGGTATCAGTACATCTTTTGTTTGACAAACTTGAAAGTTATTATATATGCCCATTTAAGTTTTTCACAGTGCAGAAACAAAAGATGAAAAAATTACCAGGTTTAGTCAGAAATGGTGGTAATCTGGTTTATTGTCCTTTTATACACACTTAAGCAAACATCTTTTAAAATAATAGTGAGTCTTGGGTTGAGTACAGGCCTGACTAAAATGCTTGCTATGCTTTGCTCCTCAGCAAACGTGAGGTAGTTCCGTATCTCCATTGTACATGTGCTGTAGTGAGACTCTTTCCGTCCCACACGGATGTGGATGGTTTCCTTAGCTCCATAGTAACCCATTACACCATTACACTCAGTCTAACCAGCCCCACGGATGTTTGCAGGGTCTTCACACATAACAGATATGGTCGGCATCCCCAAACATATTTTACTACCTATGTAGCTGTCCCTGTAACACAAATAATCAGACATGGATTTACTGGGTCAGAAAACATTGGACATTTTTGAGGAAATAGAATTTAAAAAGTGAGACTGATAACTGCATTTAAGAGTAAGAGTGCCTGTTTGCACCCCTGTCAATGCTACTCTGAAAATGTCTTGTTCATTTTACAGGCCACTTCTTTTTTTCTTTTTTGTTCTTCTATTAGTAAAAAGGCACATGTTTTTGATCGTTGTCTGTTTTTATGTCCTATTCTGGTCTTGTTCATTTCATTTCTCTCTTTGTTTTAATTGTGAAAGTATAAGTGACTTCAGTTAACATCATATAAAATTAAGATACAGACGTAAGATAGACCATTCTCCCAGGTCAGTTCCACTTCCCAATTTACCGTATACCCTAGTGCAGTTTGTACACGTTTCCCCGTGAACATTCAGAAGCGTGGACACCTTTAAAATAAACAGGATTACATATGAGTTTTAAGACACCTTTGTCTGTATTCTGGCCTTTAAATTTCTGTGGTGGAATGATTGGCTGTAAAACATTTGCTGTCTGACATTCTCCTCTGTCTTCCAAAAGACACCTGTGCCATCTTCACCTCTGCAGAGCCCTACCTACACTGGATAGTCCTCATCTGTTTGGGAAAAGGAAAGAGTAAAAGAAACCTTCCTTATTTGTATTTCTCTGATGAAGCCTGAAGTCGTTCTTTTTGTGTTTATTGATCATTTATAATTTCCTGAGTATTGTTCATTCATAGCTTCTGTTGCCTTTATGTTGGGTTATGTGTGGGTATCTGTTCAGCATCTCCTGCCTCGTTTATGGAATAGTATCCTTATTTATTGCGGTTAACCCATTCCATACAGTTTTGGTGAGCACATGCCTAGCCTTCTGAGCCACACTAGCCACAGAGATTAGAGAGTGGGAATGCAATGTGAAGTAGGCTAAGGAGAGTTCTCAACAGAACTTCAACTACTGGAAAGAAGGCTTTGGTGATGCTGGAGACCCAAGGACGGTGTGAGCCTGAATTCTTACTGTACGGAGAAAGTATCTGAGGGGAAACTCAAGAGGCTAGCAGAGACGGTGAGAAAACTAAGTTCTGACATCATTTTTCTGGAGGCCCTAGATCCAGTTGTGCCTAAAGCCTGCCCTACCTCTGGACTTTAAAGTTTTGTGAGCCAATAAAGTCCCTTTCTTGTTTAGATAATTGTATTTGGCTTCTGTCCTGATTAATATAGGATATTTGTATTTTCTTATTGATTTGTAGAAAACCTTTGTAGTTTTACTTTCTAGATTCGTGCATCATATAAGTTTAATAAAATTAGCAGTGGCCTTTTATGATTTGGGCTGTGTCAACCTCTGCCAATGTTACTTTCCCCTCCCCAATTCACACACCGTTCCCATACTTGACGTTCTAACAGTTACTTAATCCTGGCTTTCATGTCTGAACAACTTGTCATACATTTCCTCCAACAGTTCTCTCTCTCCAGGTTCTTGTGGGTCCAGGTGTGTTATACTCTGCTGACTCTAAGGTTTATTAGGACTTTTATAGCTGTGGTAGGGCACCATGACCCAAAGCAACTTGGAGAGGAAAGGGTTTATTTCTTACAACTCTCAGGTTACTTGAGTTCCTGCCCTGATTTCTGTCTCTGAGTTGAGTCAGAGCAGACACTCTAGCCAGAACTTTGAAAGCAAGAGCTGATGTAGAGGCCATGGAGCAATGCTGTGTTTCTGCTTGTGCGTAATGGCTTCTTTTACCCTGTTTTACAGCACCCAGGACCAGCAGCACAGGAGTGGCCCTGGGCCCTCCCCCATCAGGCATGAATCCAGAAAATGCACCACATGCTTGTCCACAGGCCAGTATGGCCAGGGCACATTTTCAGTTGAGCTTCTGTCTTCCAAAGTGACACTAGCTTGTGTCATGTTGACAGCACACCGCTGTACCTAGCTGACACTGCTCTTAGGGCACTGCCTTCAAACTTCTACTGCGTGTGGTCCTTGAAGCCCTTCACAATTACCTTTACCCAACATGGGTTTGGAGATGGGGACATTTTATTCTAGGTCCATGGTCTTGAAGCTACACAAGCCCAATATCTAATTTGGGAGAGTGTTACACAAGTCTTGGGGTGTTTTCTTGATGGATGCGGTTGTGGTTAGTGTCATGCCTGGTCAGGTGGTCCTGGATGACCTAAGGGTGTGGGCTGAGCAAACAGCAACTGGGTAAGCAGCGCTCCTCCATGGTCTCTGCAGCAGTCCCTGCCTCCAGGTTCCTGCCGGGTTTGAGTGCCTTCCTTGATAAACTCTGATGAGGAAGTTGAAGGGGGGAACAGACTGTTTACTCCCAAGTTGCTATGAGTGGCCTTGTTGGGGGAAGTGTGTCACTGTGGGGGTGGCTCTGGGGTCTATGCTCAAACTAATGCCCAGTGTAACAGTTCGCTTCCTGTGGATCAAGTTACAGAACTCTTGGCTCCTCCAGCACCACGTCTGTCTGTCCGTCTGTAGCCATGAGCTGCAGCGATCATGCTTTAAACCTCTGGAACTGTAAGCCACCCCAATTGTTGTCTTCACAGCAATAGAAATCCTAAGAACTATAGCCTTTAATCCCAGCAGAGCTCTTGAGTTTCAAGCCAGCTTGGTCTACATAGTGAGACCCAGTCTCAACGAAAGCCCCCAAACCATAAAGAAGCATTTAAGAATTAAATGGGTGGTCTTTGTTTTCCACACTAGCTATATTGTTGCTCGTTTGTCTAGAACCTCTCAGAGTCACAGTACCTTCGGGAGAAAAGACCTAATTCAGCCACGGCTAACTAGGTCCTGTCAACTCTCCCATTTATCTCTGCCCTCACATGGGACTCCCGTGTGTTCATTCTGTGTCGGCCCCGTGTGTTCATTCCTTGTCAGCCTTGGGGCCCTCTCACCATTTCATAAATAAATCAGGCATTGCTTTCAGGAGTTTTTATAGTTGCTGTTCTCGTGTTTATCTTTCTTCAAAAGTAAGTTTCTCAATATGACCTTCCCTGGCTAACTTGTGTAAATTGTATTATTGTTCCTTGAAAAAAAATACACATGCATACACACAAGTCATAAACATACATTTAGAAAGAAAAACAACCCTAAGCATCCATATGGCTTGTTATTTTTTTTCTTCACTTTAGATCGGCTGGCTGCTTCTGTCTGGGTCTTCTACCTGCTCACTTCTCAAAATACCAAATATTCTTCTTGATATTTATTAGCAGACAAATATGCTGGCTTTTACTAAAAAACTTTTGGGTCAAAGTAGAGTTAGGGGGGATCAGGTCTAATGTGCCCGAACTAGTGGAGAAGGCATATTAGAAGCAAAGGGTGTTGAGATGGAGATAAATTAGGTGGACTTCAGGTGCGTGCCATTGCTGGAGTTCCTAGGCCACCATGTGGGGAGGGAGGAGCAAAGATTAGTACTCTCTGTAAGTGGAGAAATAGACCTGCTCAGAAAGAGGACGTGAGTTCTTCAGAAGATTCTGCCCAGGCATTTGAACAGTCATGAGCACATGTGAAAGACTCCAAAAACTCTAGGTGGAGGACCATTAGAACCCACAGGGCCAAGTAGACATCATCATCCCCAGTGCACTCGCTAGTTGTTTTTAAGATTGATTTTGCCTGGACAGGAGACACAGCAGTGTCTGACCACAGTTTTGTCATACCAGGGAATATGGCCACTAACCGGCATCTGATGGGTAAAGGTCAGAGTGGTAGCTAAACTGTACAGTGCATAATTGTATTGGCCACAAATGGCTTGTAGTGAGGTTGAGAAGTTTGGGGTTAGGGTGCCAGGAAGTCTTAAGTCCAGAAAACAGCCCTAAATTAAATGTGGCTTGAACAAAACTTAACAGCTAGGACTTGGATAACAACAGCACAATTAAGACATTCAGCAGCCCACTTGATACCATGAAGCTTGGTGTGGTGGCACATCCCACCACTTCAGAGGCAGAATCAAGAAAAGGTCAGAAGTCAAAGGCTAGCCTAGGCTATGTGGTAAGACCATGTAACAAAATATACACATACATGTTTGGCATACATTAAAATTTTTTTTTATTTTACCATATACTACCTGCCCTCCATGCTCTTGTCAGCTTGACCCATGCTAGAATCATCTTGGAAAGAAGAACCTTAGTGAGAAAATTCCTCCATCTGGTTTGCCTGTAGGTAAGTCTGTGGGGCATAGTTTTGACTTATAACTGATGTGGGTGGGCCTAGCACAAAGGGGGCAGTGCCACCCCTGGTCAGGTGGTCCTGAGTGCTATAAAAAAGCAGACTCAGAAAGTCACCTGGTAGCTGTCGGGGCCACTAGAATCAGTATCCATACTCTCATTGCTTACATTCAAATAGCCCTTACTTTACTGAACAATGGCCTCAAGATGAAGAGTAGTGGTGGCGACAATCACGACATGCTGATGGGAAGACAGTCTTGTCACCTGTAAGTGAAAAATTGGAAAGTTTTCATTTACAGGAAGGAGAAAATTCTGAGTATGTTATGATCTACAGTAAGAACGAATCTTTTGTGAAATTGTGAAGGGAAATTTTATTATTATTCTGACATCTCAAAATGCAAGTAATGAACAAAGTGCACAGTAAGTGCTTATATAAGGAAATGACGTTAAGAATGCAGTATTGACCAAGTGATACAGAGGGGCCCAGTATTCCGAAATGCACAACCACCACATTGAGAGGCTTTTGCTCTGGCTATGTGCATTGTGTACCAGCTGATACTGCATTCTTTAGTTGCTTCAGTTGTCTCCATATCCACAAAGGGCCCTTCCCCTGCTCACAACCTATAATTTCATAAAATCCGCAGTTCGTCGACAGGACACCACGAATGTACGGAGTCTGTTCTCTTTGTCTATATAACCTGTCCCTCCTCTCATCCTATCTCAGCCCACGCATGGCTGCAGCATATGCACCAACGGCATCTCTTCTGGTTGCTTTTGCACACTGGCTGCTTTCCTTAGAACTTTAACCACTGAAGGGCTGGTAACCGGTGTGGGGAACAGCTAGCTCCGTCTGTTGGAAAAATTGCAAGAACTTGTGGCCGTTGATGGTTCTGGCTGTGAGAAGAGCAGGATGACACTAACACTGGGACGTGAGTCACTGGCACTCAAAGTTTGGAGATGTTAATTAGGAACTGAGACCCTCTGTCACTAAACACCAAGGGTGATGCACTTTGCCTACTCGGAGTCTATCTGCAGTTAGCAAGACTATCCGCTGATGAAGTTCTGTGCCTTGGGCTATGTCCCCCATGGATTTTGTGGGACTGCTATAGTTACAGTACAGTACTGTAAATACCATTTTTGCTCAATAGGTGGAAAAATATTCACATTATGCATTATTTTTTTTTTCATGTGTTCAGAGGCTGTGATTTTAGACCAACACAATTTTGGTCTGCTTTACTGAAAGTTAAACTAGTGTTACTGTGTACACTACAGGGACTCATGCTCCCTAGGAAAACCAAAACTAGACCAGCATCAACAAACTAGTGAGACAAAGTGGCATGGGGCTATTACACAGGGGATTTATAGATACTCAGCTGAGCACAGGACACAACTCTCTCTCTTCCAGAGGATGTGTGTGACATCAGTGTTAATACCATTTTAATTACAGGATTTAAAATATCCCCACCTTCTCTGAAATAATTTCTGATACGCAGTTGGTTATTTAGACTCAGTAAAGGTTTCTGCTTCTAAGATAAATATATTTCCCTCAGCTTTGAGACTTTCCACATTGCTTTTTAAAATATCTTAAGTTCTGCATTAATGTCTTACATTTTATATTGCTACCTCTGTGAATTGTCTCAATAAAAGAGATTTTCTTAGATTATAGCAAAGGTACGAATTTCTATGTTTGCCTATCAATTCATTTTAAAATTGTGAACAATGAAGGTTTTCACACAACTCCCAGAGCTCCTTAGAATTTCCTTAATACCAGTAATTCTGAGCTCAAGTTAAATGTTATAGAATTCATTTCCAGTACTTTTAAGTGGAGCATGTATTGGACACTGATTAAAACCTTTTTCATGGTCATTATATCATCAATAAGATTTTTGTTCTAGTATGGTATCAAAATTTGTACACTACAGATTTCTCTACATTTATCACACTTATGCAGTCTTCCTCCTAATGGGTCTTTCCTTTCTCCCTCTTTCCTTTCCTTTCCTTTCCTTTCCTTCCTTCCTTCCTTCCTTCTTTCCTTCCTTCCTTCTTTTCCTCCCCTGAAGCAGGGTTTCTCTATGTAGCCCTTGCTGTCCTGAAGCTCACTCTGTAGACCAGGCTAGCCTCAAAGTCAGAGATCCATCTGCCTTTGCCTTTCGAGTGCTGAGATTAAAGGCATGCACCATTTCCACCTGGCTAGAATGGGTTTTCTTAAAGTCACCAAGGTCATGTTTGTTAAAATGTCTGCTACCCTGAACCTGAGGGTAGAGCTTCTCTTCTATGAGCATCCCCTGATGTTCAGTAAGATTGGTCACAGTGATGAAGGGTTTCCCACAGCTATCATATTTGTAGTTTTTCACCAATGTGGATTCTCTGGTGGTTAGTGAGATCAGAGTGCCTACTAAAGCTTTTGGCACATTGAGCACATGAGTATGGGTTTTCTCCAGTGTGCATTCTCTGATGAAGGGTAAGAGCTGAGCACTGACTGAAAGCCTTCCCACACACGTTACACTTGTATGGTTTCTCTCCGGTGTGGACTCTCTGGTGTTTAATAAGGTCTGAATTCTGACTGAAACTTCTGGGGCACTGTGAGCATGCATATGGTTTTTCTCCCGTGTGGACTCTATGGTGAAGGATAAGATCAGAACTCTGACTAAAGGCTTTGTCACAACTGTCACAGTGGTAGGGCTTTTCACCGGAATGTATTCTCTGATGCTTAGTGAGGTCTGAACTTTGACTAAAACTTTTATTGCACAGATTGCACATATATGGTTTTTCTCCAGTATGTATTCTTTGATGTTTTATGAGATCTGAACGGCGACTAAAACTTTTAGAACACCCGCTGCAAGGATAGGGTTTCTCTCCAGTGTGAATTCTCTGGTGGAGAATAAGGTTGGAACTCTGACTAAAGGTTTTACCACATTCATCACATTCATAGGGCTTCTCACCAGTATGGATTCTATAATGTTTAACAAGATCTGACCTTCTACTAAACATTTTGCTGCACTGACTACATGGGAAAGGCTTCTCTCCAGTGTGAATTCGCTGATGATTAATAAGATCTGAAAGCCTACTGAAGGTTTTGACACAGTGATTACATGGATAGGGTTTCTCTCCAGTATGAATTCTTTGATGCAGAATAAGGACTGAGCTCTGGTTAAAGGCCTTCCCGCACTCACTGCATTTGTACGGCTTCTCTCCAGTGTGAACCCTTCTGTGTTTAATAAGGTCTGAATTCTGACTAAAGCTTTTGTTACACTGAGCACATGGATATGGCTTCTCCCCAGTGTGGATTCTCTGATGCAGAATGAGATCTGAGCTCTGTCTGAAGGCTTTCCCACAAACATCACACTTATACGGTTTCTCCCCAGTGTGGATTCTTTGATGTTTTATAAGATCAGAGCTCTGACTGAAATGTTTGTTACACTGGTTACACATATAGGGCTTCTCCCCGGTGTGGATTCTCTGATGTTTAACCATGTCTGAGCGCTGGCTGAAACTTTTCCTACAGTGACTGCACTGATAGGGTTTTTCGCCTGTGTGGATTCTCTGGTGAATAATAAGATCCGAGCTCTGGCTGAAGGCTTTCCCACAAACATCACATTTGTAGGGTTTTTCACCCGTGTGGACTCTTTGATGTTTAATAAGGTCTGAGCTCCGACTGAAGCTTTTAATACACCAGTTACAAGGATAGGGTTTCTCTCCAGTATGGATTCTCTGGTGCAGAACTAGGGCTGAGCTCACACGAAAGGCTTTTCCGCACTCATCACATTCATAAGGCTTCTCCCAGTGAGTTCTTTGGTGCCTAATAAGACCTGTATTCCAAGCAAAGCTTTGGCCACATTCATCACAGACATACTGTCTTCTTTTTAAGAGGTTCTGGTGATTCAGTTCATCCTCCAATTCACAGAATTCGTTGCCTTTGGAATTCTGGAGAACACCCTCTGTGAGGCTGCTCCATTCTTCAGTCAATGTTTCAATGATTCCTGTCACTTCATCCTCTGAAGCCGGCTCTCCAACCTTGAGCTGTGTCTCACCATCTGGAACAGTAAACAAAATCCAGATGGACAGTGTGCTTCATGTTTTAAGAAAGTTCCAGATGAAGCAAGTAATACCTATAGATATTACAATACGAGGGGAGGGTACGGCACAGGTGGCCCCTTGGCTAAAGTGATGGACAGCAAATGAGGTAAGAGGCATCCCAACTTTGGAAAACACTGAGGAAAATGAGAAGAATCAAAAAGTAATGGATCACACTTTTGTAGAAAGGGTTTATCAGATATAAAGATATGATTTTCACAGAAGACCTGGGAGAACTGAAATGGATTCACTATAGTAATTAAATATTGAGGGCTGGAGAGATGGCTCAGTGGTTAAGAGCACTGACTGCTCTTCCAGAGGACCAGGGTTCAATCCCTGCACCCACATGGCAGCTCACAACTGTGTAATTCCAGTTCCAGAGGACCCAACACCTATGGCAAAACACTAATGCATATAAAACAAAACAAATATTTTTAAAAGTGTGACTAAATTAGAGCTATTACTTATTAATAAACTTAAAGAAAGCAGTAAAAAGTGTAGGAAAGGGAAGTTTGTTGGGTTTTACCTAGCAATGCTCAGGTATTTAGGCTAAAAGCAAGGTGCTAAAGAACAATAATGAAAGAGAAAACCATTTTTTTTTTTTGCATCCCTCTTTAAGAAACAGTTAAACATTGTTATTTTTACATAGAAATGCACTGCATTCTAAACACCATGTACAAAAAGTCACATGCAGGATCAATTCCAGTACAGCAATCACTTTAAAATTGAGTTTTCATATTACATCAATCTGTTACAAAATAACTCTGAGACATTGTCTTATCTTCTCCAGCTGCAACTACATTTGGTATCATAAACAACAAGAGGGCCAGAGTGGTAAAATGGCTAAGTTGTTCCTACTTTCTCAAACTGCATGCATTAATGAGAATAACAAGAAATCAATTTTGACATAAAGACAGGTTTCATTTTTTTTTAAGTGTGTGCCAGTACACTTAAGAAGGTTATGTGTGTTTGCATGTGTGTGTTTATGCTATGTATGTGTAAGTGTCCTCACAAGCCACAAGAGGATGTCAGATGTTCAGGAGCTGGAGTTATAGGCAGTTGTGAACTGTCCCACACCGGTGCTAGGAACTGAATTTGGGTCCTCTAGAGCAGTGGTTCTCAGCCTTCCTAATTCTGTGACCCTTTAATACAGTCCCTCCTGTTGTGCTGACCCCCAACCATAAAGATTATTATTCATTTTGAAAAAGCAGATCCACTTTATTTACAATGATCAGTAGATGGCATAGAGTTTTGGGTTCTGATGGCCTTGTGAAGCTACCTGGGCAGGGGGCTCCCTTTCCCTCTGTCTTAACACCTCTTTCTCCTCATCCTGCACGTAAGTACACTGTGGTCAGGATCTGCTTGTCCTGAAAGCTTTGCTTGTTTGGGCCATGTGTCCTTACCTCCTTTGGAGGTTCCATCATGGTCCAGTGATGGGAGATGTCATTCTGTAAATATGTTTCTCATACTGGTTAATGAATAAAACACTGTTGGCCAACAGGAAAGCAAGATAGGCGGGACTAGGGGATAAGGAGGAGGGAGGAAGTAGGAAGGAGAAGTCAAGATGGAGAGACTGGGGAGACGAGATGCCTGCCCTATTCCCCAGTAAGATGAGACCACGTGGAAATACATAGATCAACAGAAATGGGCTAATACTTAAGACAGAGCTAGCTGATAAGAAACTAGTACCTGGCCAACAGCATTATATCAAATACTGAGTCTCAGTTTGTTAATTGGGGCAGGCATGGCGGCAGGACAAGACCAGCGGCGGGCAGAAAACCTAACTCCTTACAGTTCAGGATGCAGGGTAGACCAGTTATCTGTCTGCAGTGAGGGGCTGAGAGGAGCCCTGAAAGAATGTCAAGGCTGCCTAGTGCCGGGCTGTTAGACTGTCCCACTCTGTCCTTCACACATTGACAGGACCATCCCAGTGCCTTTCCCAGGCAGAGCAGTGAAGTGTCAGGAGCCTTTTCAAACAGTAGAGTGTAGGACCAAGAATTCCTCCGTATGTGTATGGTCCCAGGTGGGAGTCCTTGTCTCAGTTCTCCCCACCTACTCCATTCTCTTCCTTCTCTGAAATCTCTCTAGGGTGGTTCTCTTCAAAGGGATTAAGAGACCAAGGGCAGGGCCATTACTCCTCCCCTAGATGGGGTCCTGGGTTCAAACCCATCCTCCAGGGTTTCCACATTTCCCCCTTTCTCCTGAGATGCTTTTTGGAAAAGAGCAAGTTGTTCTGTGGGCAGAGACCTGGCATAAAGCGTGGGGGCAATTTCACAGTGGAGGACCAGGGAAACTCCCAGTGTGGGGAGAAGTGGACTCCCCTCCACCCCCAAAAATCAAGGGCATATCCTGCTTCACCCTGAGCCAGGATGAGGGACAAGGCAGCCGCTATGGAGGCTTCAAGGGTGGCAGGCCAGGGACCAGGGAGGTGAAGTGGGCAGGGACCGTAAAATTATTTTATTGCTGCTTCATAACTAGTTCTGCAACTGTTGTGAATGTTAATGTAAATATCTGATATTCGACCCAGAGGGTCTCGACCCACAGGTTGAGAACAACTGCAGTAGAAGACCAGCAAGCATTCTTAACCACTGAGCCATCTCTCCAGCCTCTAAAGACAGACTTAAAAAATGAAGGGCCTAAAACATCAATATTTAGGCTGAAGTTTGGTGCCATCTCAATTTAGTAAAACCACAGTAGTAAAGTCCTTCCTAGGGTCTGTTCCCCAGTCGGAGGTTTTAACTGGGTCTGACAGTGTCAGGTGTGTGTATTCTCACCTGTCAAGCACTCCTCAAAGTGACCCAATTGTGGCTGTCTACCCTCGGGACAGCTGTGCTGCTTGCTATCATACCAGTGGCCCCATCCTGCTTGGCAATCAGCACTGTTGTTTGTAGGGTAAACAGCAAAGTAAGACCTTGGGTCCTTATCTCCAGTTAGCTTACACAGCACCTTCAGGCACCCGGAAAGTTAGCCAGAAGTGAGGCAGCTTCTACCTCATTTCCAACTTGTTTTCTTATAACCGTGTATAATATCTTTGGCAGTAGGTTTTATTTTCTTATAGGATCTTAATTCTGGTGCCCAACCAAAAGGAATGGCAATAGTCTGTGTAGTTTGGGGACCCTCTGGGGCCTCCTTGGCCAAGTACTCATAAGAAGGTATTCCTTCCATTCCTGGAATTTGAATTTTTGTTTGATAAACAATGGCTTCTAGGAACAGTACTATCTAGCCATCCAGGACATGTCCCATCTATTTTCTTTTGTTTATTTTGTCTTCTTTTGAGACAAGGTTTCTCTGTGTAACAGCCCTGGCTGTCCTAGAACTCACTTTGTAGACCAGGTTGGCCTCATGTTCACAAAGATCCACCGGCCTCTGCCTCCTGAGTGCTAGGATTAAAGTCGTGAACCACCATGGCCAGCTATTAACTACTTTTTAAATTTATTTATTGTTTTTAAATCAGCTTACAAAGTTCTGAGTTTCCACCTGACTTTCTCATATAGCCTTCACCTTGGTTAACCTGCCCTCCCAACCCCCTCATTTCCTGTACCAGTCTAACCACGTTCCTGCTTGACTTTGTCAATGCCCAGTGTGTTCCTCCTTCTACTTTACTGCCCATTAAATAAGTGCTATTCTCATCTGCAATCAGGGAAGCTTCTCTTTGCAGAGGACGGCAGTGAATGCGGAGATTCGGGGCTGTTCAGGACGCTCAGGATAAATGACAGTTCAGTTCTCAGTCATAACAATTAGTGCCACTCCCCTGACAGTGTAGAGAATATGGTGGAAGGAAAGAATAGAAAGAACGCAAGAGCTAGAAGAGAGGGAGAAGAGATGGGAAATTCTGTTTTTAGGGTATAGCATAGCCATGGCAAACTGGATCTCAGAGGAGCTGTGGCTGCCTGTACTGGGTTTGCACAAGGTAGTCCCTGTTAAAAGCTAATTACAGATCAGGGAGAAGCTCATAGGATCCTACTCTACCTGCTGAACTATACTGGTGACTGATGGGGAGGGACAGTCATTGCCATCAGCTGTGTACCCAACAGTGAGCCCACCAGGATCCAGTGACTATTCCAAACCCCTGACACACAGATTATCCTGGCTAAAATCATAAAACAAACAGGAATGAATGGAAAGGGACTTGTAGGGAGGACAGGGACTAGCGGGTTTCATAAAGGTAAGGGGTGGGGTGAGAGGAAACAGAATTACTATTTACATGCATGCAATAGTCAAAGAACACATTTAATCAACAAACATTCAACAATAAAAATTTAAGGTACAGCCTGGTCTACAGAGTGAGTTTCAGGACAGCCAGGGCTACACAGAGAAACCCTGTCTCAAAAAACAAAACAACAAAATTTAAGGTCAGCACTGAACTATTATAGCACAAGCAGACACTTAAATCCCCAGACTGTTGTCACACAGTGGCACACAGGTCCTTTCTATACCAGTACATGGAAGTGTATTTCTACCTTTTTTGCCCAAGATTTTGGAGGTGTGCAACTGAACGAGCAATACTACAACTTATTAAGTTTCCAGCTTAGGTTATGATGGCCTGCTCCCATGACCCTATCTGTCATTATGGAGAAGAGGCAGGAGGGCCAAGGCTTCAAGACCGTTTTTATCTATTAAGTGTGGAACGGTGAGTCCTGCCTGGCTCGGTGCTAAGAGTGCACATAGTAAGTGACACTTTGTGGTGTTGAACACACCATGCTTTGTTTTAGCGGTGATTTTTAGCATAGTAGGAACTGAACCCAGGACCTGTCTGTCACCTCACAGGCAAGTGCTCTGTTACTGAGTTACTCCCCAGATCCCCAGCTAACTTTCTTAAGTTACAGAGCATGTTTACCTCCCCAGACATCATACTTTGAATGACACAGAGAAAAAAAATCAGTTCCTAATATCAAGCACAACTTATCAGTCACATAAAAGTTTGGACTCTGGAATGCTAGTGAAGGTCTTCAGTCTCCTC